ATTTCACTCCAAACCATTTTCATCGCAATCTGTTCTCCGCATCAAATCCAAACTAAAATGCAACGATATTCACATATCGACCACTGCTGAGGGCGCGAGTGCTAATGATAGTTTTCGCATTAATCTGACATTTCTATCTAGACCGTCTGTGACACGGCATATCAACGGAACGGTAGCCATTATAATTCCGAAAAAATGAGATCGCATGCGTGCTGGTATCTGCCCTCACCCTACAACCTCGTTGGTTACAGACATGCACGACAGTTGACGGTTGTGTGAATGCTGGGTTTTCAATTGTCGGTTTTGTTTTCATATTTTTGGTAAAAGCCAACCTAGAGATGTGGTTGGGGTCATAGATATGGTCAGCTGACAGCGATAATCATGGCTTTCACAAGAGATAGCAATTTCGTCACTAATTATTATGTCTTGTCAGAGCGGTCCGTTGGACCTTCATCCTTTAGTCAGTGGGCATGTCTGTGTCATATGTCAGGTCTGGATAACTACAAGTCAGACAATATTTACGGAAAGAGAAAGAATAAGTTTTCTTTTATTGTAACACTTATCGTGCTATTAGCAACCTGACGAGGTATTACAATTGACATCACTCCTGACAATAACCCTGCAATGTTACGTTGCTTGGCATTTTGTTTCTTATACAATTCAACACACCCTTACGATGACAAATACAAATATGTATGTGCAGTAATAATACTAATAATAATAATAAGAATACTAATAACTAATGAACATTTTAATATACTCCTTACATTCTCTTTTAAAACTACTAACATTGCTACAGTTCTTGATATATTCAGGAAATTGATTTTACTGTTTCAATCTTCTGTAATATAGACTGGCTTGTCCTGAGACAACTACTTAACCTATCTATGAAAAAAATATTTCTGGATACTGTGTAATGTCTTACGAATTCACAATTACCTAATTGATGACTTGGAACTAAATGCTTCAACATTTTATGAATGAATATCATTATATTGTAGATTATTGTTTGTCTTAGCATACGAGGTCTGTAAATTAAATAATGGGAATGCTTTTTCTATTTCGTTTTATTCAAACATAATTACAATTTTGTATTGTCAGCCTCAAAATGACTTCCTTCTGAAGCCACACAGCGCTGGAGTCAGTTCTTTCACTCCTCATAGCAGTGCTGGAACTCGGATTCTGGAATAGCCTTCAGCTGGTCTGTTACAGCCGTTTAAATGTTTTCGACTGTCCCAAAATGAGTTCCTTTGAGGTGATTTTTCAACTTGGGGGAGAGAAACAAAGTCACAAGGACTCAAGTTAGGCAAACAAAAAGGCTGACGTGACTCTTCCCCGATGATTCTGACTCTCAACCGAAGATCTGAACGCGCAAGATCCCGGATGTTGTCGATATTTTCATCGGTTCTTGTAGATGAAGGCCTTATCTTCAATCGACTCTCTCGCTTCTGAAAATGCCTTAAACAACCGACAAAACCTGGGCCCTTGATAAAACACTATGCTATGATTTTTTATAAACATGGATTTGGCTTTTTGTACATTCAACTGTACAGTGTTATTCAACCACTGAAATAGATTTTCAAGTTCTCTGGCGAGGATATCTATCTGTCACTCGCAGGGTTGCCAAGTCTAACGACGATCACGTCCCGTGGTGGAGAGTGCGAAATGAATCTTTTACATTTGCTGGTTTTCAATTTTTTTATGAAAATTTACTAGGTATCATGATTATAAGCATCTTTGGTAGATTGTTCGATCCGGATTGGGAAAGATCTCCTATTTATGAAAATATTTCTGGTATCATCTAACCGTTGCAATCAGTGCACAAACACTGTGACATATGATTTATAGCATAACCCGCTGCCCTATCAATACAAATTTAACATACAGGTCGCCTAGCCGTGGGGATGTCGTGGTCGGGATGAATATCACGGCAGCAACTGATGATTTGGGATTGTCTGGTAACAAAGTATGTAGTGAAACTCGCTAACTTCACAAATTTGAAGATTTTGTAGAATTTCTTTGAAAATGATGAAAGATATGCCTGATTTGGCAGGGTAATGTCGCAGCCAAATGGCGGTCACCCTTTCTGACACAGTCCGGATCGAAAGATGACGATACTCGTGAAATGTATTGATACTTCTAAATATGGGGTCGTATCGAACATCCCTACTGTCAAGATGTATAACCCAAGGTACCGACGAAGCTATTTTGCGGCGTCATGGAAATAATTTTAAATTTTCATTTGCATTTTTTCAAGTGTTGTGCAATGATTTTGGGAAAAATGTCACGAATAGTCTTATAAAGCATAGTAGAGTATATTTCAACAGTTGGCGGAACTTACTCCACTGGGACCAGGATGGTTTTATTAATGCACAATCTGGCAACCCTGTCGCACCCTCACAAAATGGCCGCTGACAAACACAAAACACCGTGTTGTCATTGAATAGCATGGAATTAAACCTTCAGAGTAGATGTTTTGTGACTGGTACCAGGAGTTGACACATCCCACACATGTGTCTCTCCTTGAAATGCAATAATCAGCTGTATTCAAATAATGTCTAACATAAATATAACCTAGAATGTGTACTCGTGAAAAAAGAAAAATATGACAAATTTGTAGTTTTTTTTGCAGATTTTAGGTTTGCTGGTAGCTTTAAGGCATATATTTGGGAATTTCTTAATCGTTGTGAAAATAGTGTGGATGTTTGTTCAGTTCCTGAACATCGAAAAATATTCAACTTTATGGATGTATGGACATCAAAAAACCTAAATGGTTTTGTGGGAATATCAATCTAAGGTGCCATAATGGTTCTGATGAACGGCAAGTAAATGAATGAATGGGAGCGAGCAATATGTTTTGGTAGAACCTGTCATCAAGTAGGTGCTTAATGGCTATCTGCAAGGGGTTTATAGGAAAAAACACCCAGTTTCACATACCAATTGAAGAAAATAATATAAACATGAATAAAAAATCAACAATAGTAATTAAAACATGAATTTAATTCAAAAATCCATCATTTCTTAAAATTTTGACTGAATTATATGTAATTTCTAAATATTCAATAAGCTGGTGATGTTTCAATGACAAGTTGCCATCTCATACTTTGACAGTATTTTGTTTTCAACATTTCATAGCGATTGGTTGCTAAAATTTGTTGATTGGAACTTGAAGCTCATTCGCTGTATCTGACGGTCTGTTACCCTATAGGTTGAGAATAACGGACTGTTGTTGGTGAAATTGGCCCTTAGTCACTTGTTGACGAACTCTGACGTAATCGTCAAACTATTTCAGGATACTTTCACCAATATTTTTGCAATTTGTGTAACAGCAATCGAATGCCCGCTTGGATTCCAGAAAAACAATACCAATTTCCAGTTAAAAAGAACAGATTATAACGCATTTTTACGGGAATTTAAATCGAATAAACTGAGGAGAGATCCAGAAGTCTTGGAGATAATTTCAATAATTACACCAAACAACAGCTTTAACATTAAGCTCCCAACCTAGAGGCAAGACTTGTATAGAGTAAAAACCGCCTATAACCAGTCTACAGCCCAAAAATAGTTTTGCCCTCTAGAGCAACGCTTTATTCATGAGCGATTGAACCAGCGGGTATATATGCCCACCCTCTATATACTTTTCATAGTTATTCGTAATACTTCCGACAGTTGCTTCCATCCCGAATAATACTTTTACCGATTTTGTCCACTGAACGGGATTACAAAGCTTCTACTTATTCTACCTCTGCCAGGCTCTACAGGGTGATTCATGAAAACATGGCAATCTTTCTAGAGTACAAAGTACATCGATAAATGTCAAAAAAAGTTCCTATAAATAAAGGTCCTGAAATTTCCCATTATAAAGACACAGGCGTTGTTCTCTACGCCGGTTATGAGAGCGAATATTGTTCAAATAACGTTATGGTTAGATAGGATTACTCTCCTAATCTACTAAATACAATTTTTTTCAACAGATTTTCAAAGTACAAGTCGGATCGGTGACTCATTTTTTCCTAAAGACAGTTTATAATTCGTATTTTGCTTTCTTATGAGAATATTCACGATCCACCGGAGGCGTACATACCACTCACTGGGAGACCTCAGAAAAGCCTATCGAATATGTAGTATTGTACAGCTAAATAGCTATGAATTGAGAAATTTTCCAGATAGGAGGCGTCCCTTAATAACGTGAGGTATTCAGGAGGGGGAGCTGAATCTCATCCGATCTCACTCAAGGAAGATGTGTGGTCTTGAGAAGTATCAAGTGATTGATCCCCGAAAAAAAAACATGCAAAATTGCAAGAAAATTGGGTGAAATTAAAGTAAAACATGCTTTTTGACTAACATATGGCAAAATCTGACATTTATCGTTGTTAACGAGATAGTAGAAGTTGGTAATTATGCATTCCTTAATAGCGGTGTAGAAGACTGGGAACAGGCTTTCTTGTAAACAAAAGATTTAAATCCGCAGTAATTTTAATGCAATTAAGGGGCGAATGTGGCTTTAAGACTTCGAGAAAAATTTCAGAAAATAAGCCTACTGAATTTCCATGCCCCATCAGAAGAGAAGAACATATTAATTAAGGAGGAATTTTATAATGTGCTAAGTAAAGAATTTGAAAAAATTCCGAAGTATGACGTCAAAATTGTATTGGGAGATGCAAATGCAAAAATAGGCAAAGAAGGAATATATGGGAAAACAATTGGCAGATATAGTAAACATAGTCTTACATCAGAAAATGGAGAGTTTCTCATAGATTTTGCAAAGGAAAACAATATGATTATCAAAAGCACAGACTTGGAAAGAAAAGAAATATATACGGGAACTTGGAAATCTCCAGATGGGAAAACTACAAACCAAATAGACCATGTTTTGATACAAAAGGGCGAGGAGAAGTATAAAAAATATCAGGACATATGGAGGATTAGATGCGGACAGTGACCAATTCATGGTGGGAGTGAAATTTAGACGTTATTACCTGTGCAAAGAAACAGAAAAAATGAAGAACCGTTATAAACACAAAAGATTAGAAAAACAGGAAGACAGAGATAGATATAAGAGAATATTAAATGAAGAGCTAGAGACAGCAAATATAGAGGAATTGTACACGATGTACAGTGTGGATGAAAAATAGAATATGATAAAGGAGAAAATGGAAAAATGTATGTCAGAATGTGAGCAAAAAAGGAGCAAAAGCAAAAATAAATGGTTCGATGAGGAGTGAGAAAGGGAATTACAAGAGAGAATAAGTTGGGTTTGTTAGCGATAAGTCAGGCGACGGAAGGAAATAAACTAAAGTATACCAAACAACGGAAAGCATGTAAGAAACTGTTTAGGGGAAAGAAGAGGAAGGATAAAGGAAGACAGCTTTGTGAAATAGAAGAACTCTATAAAAATGGGGAGATTCGAAATCTATATCAAGGTGTAAAAAGACAGAAAAACGGTTTCGAAGCAAATACAGTATTTATAAAGAGTAACGATGGACAACTCAGTGCAGATGAAATATTAGCAAGATGGAAAGACTATTTCGAGGAACTGCTGAATGAAAACTTTCGGGAAGACGACGAGCACGGGATTAACGATTTTGAGGAACAGGAAAGGGTGTTGGATGATAAACCAGACCTAGATGATGTAAAAAGGATTCTAGGAAGCTTAAAATCAAATAAAAGCGCTGGTATAGATGAAGTCACAGGCGAAATGCTGAAATTCGGAGGGGACAAAGTTAGTGAGGTAATGCACAGGTTGATAGGGGAAATTTGGGAAACAGAAAGAATGCCGCGTGAATGGAGTGAGGCGTTAATAAGCCCAATGTTTAAAAAAGAATCTGTCAAAACTGCAGAGGGATAGCCCTATTGAATGTTGGATATAAAGTGCTAGCGACCTGTATTAAGAGTAGACTTTCACCAAAAATGTTAGGAAGAACAGGAGAATACCAATGTGGGCTTAGAACAGGATGGGGAGTGGTGGACCAATTTTGTACACTTGGAGAGATCCAGGCTGAGAGTTATAGAGTTATCAACATTAGAAACATACATAGGTGCATGTAGTATTTATAGACTTCAATAAAGCATATGATACAAGATCGGCAGTATACCAAGCACTAAGAGGACTAGGAAATAGTGAAAAGGTTATAAGGCTAATAAAGTTGACACTTCAGGAAACGGAAAATAGAATAAAAGTTAAAGGAAGGCATTCTGAAAAGTCCAAGGTAAAAGTGCGGCAAGGGGATCCGTTGTCAACAGTTTTATTCAACTATGTATTGGAAGATATAATCAGAGCAGCAAATTTAAATAGGAATAGCCTGAACAATCTCCTGAAAAGCAAGTTGATAAGTAATAAATTAAAAATTAAATTATATAAAACAGTAATAAGACCATCAGCTACATTTGCTTGTGAAACATGGATCTTGAGGAATGCAGATATAAATACACTAGAAGTGTGGGAAAGAAAGGTATTAAGGAAAATTTTTGGAGGGAAACAGATCAATGGGGTATGGGGAAAGAAGAATAAACCAAGACCTTGTAGATATGTATAAAGAATCAATCACAGGATATATAAGAGCACAAAGGTTGACATGGTTAGGGCATGTAGAAAGGATGGCAGAAAATAGGATTCTAAAAATGATTGTTAGCAGAAGCATAGGAGACAAGAAGAGGAGAGGGAGACCGAAGGAAAGATGGAAGAGCGAAGTAGAAGCTGATCTGAGAAGCTTAGGTGTACAAACTGGAAATTCATGTGTCAAAATAAGCAGAAATGGAAAGAAATTACAAATAAAGCCTTGGGCATTCCAGGCTTGTAGAGCCATATATATATACACCTTAGGAAAAACCATTGTTATACATGGGAAATCATTTCTTCGCAACAGCGCATCGGCTCGTCTACTTTCATCGCTATTCGTACATATTTCCTACCGTTAACCGCAGACCTGTATCACGAATGAGAATAATAGGCAGATACGCTGTGTTGCCAATTTGAGTAGAGCTTCCCGAATTGTGGGGAATTTAGAGTTAAGTGTTGATTCATTCAAGCTTTTAATCAGCATGGCCTAGACGTTAGAACTTCATAAAGATAACATTGAAGCTGAATGCTGCTGGAATATAGTGTTTCGAATATTCAAAGCGGAGCGGGACACTATACTCGTTCAATGGGTCATCAAGCCTCAGTCTTTTCAACAAAGAAATTATTTTACGAAAATGCGTTATATTTTTACGATTTTGTCGTCACCAAATCTCTGTTTCTCAAAATGTACGTCTATTGTAGAATTTTCAGCAAACTAAGCAAGAAACGTGATCTAGTATTTACTCAACATTACGGATTTCTCGAAATACATTAAAAAATGTGACCTAGATACCTAACTGCCCCAAGCTCTTTAAATACAACACCTTAAACCAGGGTTACCAGGTGCTCAGTCACGTTGATTGTCATGTTGTACTGCGCAAGTCAGCAAACAATCTGGCGTAATAAACGTTAGGAATCATCAGGTATTGCCAGATTCCCGAATACCGGGCACCATAGTAACCGTTATAGTTGTCCTTCAAAGTTGTCAAATCGCCCCTATGGCGCAAATTCGCCACACCAGGCAACTGTGCTATAAACAAACCCTGTTTATCACTACTATTTGATAGTCATATGGTAGTTGTAGCCCTATCTAGCGGTCCATGATTTCTCTCAATACTGTTGTATCTCTACTGGCAACAAGAATAGGGATTACTAAATCATTTTTACAACAATATACAAACATGAAAAATATGATTTGAACCATGAAACATTAATACAATTTTAATAGTTTGAACTTTTTTCATTTTTGGAATACTCTTATGTGGAATCCGCAGCTATTTTTCCCGAAATTTGGGTAGATTTCTTAGAAATATGACATATTGGTATCGGCAACTCTGCGAATGGGAGAAACAAATCGCATTTGTTGAGCGCATCCGTCTAAGCGGTAGGCGCCAGCGCCCGTTCTGCCATCTCTCTCTTTTATCACTCTTCTACTTTACCCCGTTGTCCGTCACACTCCGACACTGCCACATAGGATCCTACAATCGAGTGTCTTTCGCGCACCTACATACTTTTGTATATTTCCATCTCTCTTCCTCATCATAATGTATAATAATGTTTTTTCCCAAGGTGTATATATATATATGAATGCCGCAGAACAGCATAGTAGCCCTTCGATTGTTTAGGCGCAAAAAATTACTCTCACGGGGGGTTGACACAAGACGAGATGTAATCTTAGACTGTAATCTTACACTAGACCCTAAGAAACCTCAAAAACTAGTCTTCACTAATCATAAATAAAAATAATGATGCAAATTGTGTTGTTTAACTAGATTTAACACATTAAAACTAAAATTATAAATGTGGGATGAACCTCACGTGAGACAAGCGTTTGGTGGAGGGGGTCAATCCAAATCTCACGGCATCTCACCAGGGGGCATCAAGTGGTCAAAAATCGTCAAAAACATAGGTCACGTAATTAATGGACTCCCGCTAAGAATATCGTTACAGTTAAGCTCTCTGCCCCGCATAGCAGGAAATTACCAGCTTTAATGAGTGTTTCGGAGGCGACTAATTTTATCGCCCACCGTCCATAATCTAGATGACAGAATTATTGCCGCGTTCACCTAATGGAACCGCTGTATGACAAGTTTTCCGAGATACTGAGCTTATGTCTGGTTAATGGATTTATATTTGCCCGAAGTCCGAAGCGTGGGCGAATATTCAATATTTCAACTGTTTCCGTTATAAAAGCGATACACAATAATGACTAATATCTACAATATTAACTTTTTCAACTGCCCGGCTTTAACGGTAACAATCAGCTTCAAGATAAAAAAGCTATAGGCTGCCATTCTATTATCAGGTGTTCATAAAAACAGGAATGATGGTTCAAACTGGATTTTGTAGAACAAATACATAGCATCTTTTGTCATGAACATAACAATTTAATTGCCTAAATTCCAGTTACCTATTGAAAATCTAGCCCCACACTTCATAATAAATATAATTCTCATATAAAGAAATTGAAACAGCTATTCTTGAAAGTATAGTAAAACATATTGGAACTGTTGTTTGAAAAAAGTGTGCTTTTTAAGTAAGGTTTAAACCAGATTAAACAAGAAATAACCTTGAAAAAGGGTTCAAAAAGAAAAAACGAATTCCTATAATAAATACATGGTGTTCTACAGGGTTGGAGTTTACTTTTCAATAAGTTAACCTGTTTCATAAATACACTGTATTTTTTCAAATGACTGCCATAGGTAACTGGAATAGACGCTCGGCGAGAGGATCACTGCTGACAATTTTTTCAAGCATGTAGGCGATTTCAAATATGCTTGTAGGCAAAAGTTTCCGAGCAAGGTCAAAGCAGACAGGAGAGCCAATCATCTAACAGATGTTTCTGTCTGCTTGGTATGTACTGGGTATCCTAATATAAATTGACATCTTAATTTTTTGTTATGCATTTTACAAAAGAATTGTATTTACACAAGCTGTAGGGTCTAATAAAAAGCTTTTCAGGCAACAGGTTTTTTCTCAGAAACATGCCATAGTAAAAGTTGTATTTATCAAATTGAGCACACTGTTTATTTTAGGTGAAAAAGATATAAGCTTTCCGGTGATTTCAAACATAAATGGTTTGTTACACTTATTTTTATCACTTTAGTCAAAAGAAACAAAAATTGTATATGCGGCTAGACGAAAACTGGTTATAACTCAGATATACTGAGTGACAGGCAAAGGAAAACACCCACGTTTGTTTATCCGATTTTAATAATTTTTGGCATATACTTATGTTCAGTGTCCCTTACTAGTAAAATGATTGGATTTTCACCTTGATTCGTCAACTAATTATAGAAGCTGGTTCAATAATGGTTTGAGGATCCACGATTTCTTATACGCTCATTGAAACGCCTGGGAATCGTGCTGATAAGGTGGTCGATATCCTGTTGAGGTAACTCATTCCAGGCTGCCTCAACTTGGTGAGTAAAAGCTGCTAAAGTCTGTGGAGGGTGTTGCAAATCCAAGAGCCTGCGACCTATCATGTCTCAGACACGTTCAATTGGAGATAGGACAGGCGATCGTGGTGGCCAAGATAAATGGTTGATGTGATGTTGATCAAAGAAGCCTAACGATACTCTGGCAACGTGCGGCCTGGCATTGCCTTGCTGAAAGATCGCGTTTTGGATGGTGTTTAGGTATGTAATAAGATGAGGCTCCACTACTTCCTGAATATAGCGTCGGGCTGGCACTTTGTCTCTGGTGACAATTAGTAGTAATCTGCTACCATAAGCAATAGCACCCCATACCATAACTGCCACGGTGTGGTGAACGTGACGCGCTCTCTGTCAAATTGTAGGTCACGCCTTTCACCACGTCGCTCTCCTGTTAAATTGTCGGGATACATCAAAAAAGTCTTTGATGTAGTATTCACCTTTAATGTGGGCTGACTTGAGTATATCTGAAAGTATATACATACATATATATATATATATATATAACTTGAGACGTGGTCATTGTCGTCTAGACCAGTTAGGTGAAAAATTAAAGCTTCCGCTTTTTGTTGGGTACTTCGACAAGATTTAAGCAAAGAGGACTCTTTATACTTTTTTAATTCTCTCTAGCTTTCAATGGACTTTGCCATCATCATCAGGAGCTGCAATTACAATGATAACAGTAGCAACAAAGGTGTAAAATGAATTTAAATTGACTCAACTTACAGTAGTATGTGAGAATGTTGCTAATTGTTGTTTACGCATATGATGAGGGAAACGTCCAGTAACATGGTGAGAGCTGAATAGGTTGCACAATAGTCAAAATTTATACAAAACATGACAAGAACACGTTAAAACAGATTAAAAATTATTTTAAAAATTAGAACATTACATCGTGAAACCACCTGATGATTGCACAAATTAGTGGTCATGGAATGATGAATTGATGAGTGACATGAAACCCTTTGACAGAAGGCCGAAGGATGTCAATGTCAGTATTGAAAGATGGAACGAATGGAAAACTGCGAAAAATTGGAGAACTTACATATCTCCCCAAATTTCAACTCTTCACAACCATAATTAGAATCTGTGTTTTGTCCGTTTCCACCAGTAAATTTCATTCCACTCAAAATACAATAATTCTCTCCTCACGATTTATTAATAATTGTTAATTTAAATTCCCATTAATAATAATATAGTTTATTCAACTGCCTCTGGTCGGTTTAACAAATTCCATCATAAAATTCTGTAAATCTCTTCATCTGAAGTGATTTGGCAACGTTTTTGGCACACGCCCACAATTCGTTCCATCTTTCAATACTGACATTGACATCCTTCGGCCTTCTGTCAAAGGGTTTCATGTCACTCATCAATTCATCATTCCATGACCACTAATTTGTGCAATCATCAGGTGGTTTCACGATGTAATGTTCTAATTTTTAAAATAATTTTTAATCTGTTTTAACGTGTTCTTGTCATGTTTTGTATAAATTTTGACTATTGTGCAACCATTTCAGCTCTCACCATGTTACTGGACGTTTCCCTCATCATATGCGTAAACAACAATTAGCAACATTCTCACATACTACTGTAAGTTGAGTCAATTTAAATTCATTTTACACCTTTGTTGCTACTGTTATCATTGTAATTGCAGCTCCTGATGATGATGGCAAAGTCCATTGAAAGCTAGAGAGAATTAAAAAAGTATAAAGAGTCCTCTTTGCTTAAATCTTGTCGAAGTACCCAACAAAAAGCGGAAGCTTTAATTTTTCACCTATATATATATATATATATATATAGGTGAAAAATTAAAGCTTGCGCTTTTTGTTGGGTACTTCGGAAGCGGAAGCTTTAATTTTTCACCTAACTGGTCTAGACGACAATGACCACGTCTCAAGTTATATATACATAGTCGTGCCATAAGTTCTGTCCCATGATAATCTCATGATAAAAATGAAACAAGATAAGATATATTTATATGAAAGATATTATTTATTCGACAACATTTTTAGAATTCATAATCAAACAGTTTTATTCAAAATGTCCCCCCTTGGCCTTCACACACTGCTTCTATCTCGCGGGCCACTCATCTATCACTGCACGCACAGCTTCCAAAGGAATAGGTGCCGCTGATCGGATCAAATCCGCTTTCAGGGACTCGATATTACGGTGGGCTTTGGAGCAGGCCAACTGCTCTAGCAGGTCCCACAACTTGTAGTCTAAAGGATTGAGGTCCGGACTCCCTGAGGGCCAATCTTCCGCAGCAATGAACTCTGGCACATTGCTTTCCAGCCAGCGCTGCGTACTCTTAGCCTTGTGAGCGGGGGCGGAATCCTGCTGGTAGACCCAGTGTTGGTTGGCAAACAATGTACCACTTAAAGGCTTGACGATAGGATCCAGTATGTCGCTCTGATAGTTTGCCGCTTTTGTTTTCACGCCCTGTTTACAGAAATGGAGCTGAGTGACCCCTTCGTAGGACACCCCCCACCAAACCATGACTGACGCAGGGTGGTGGCCTCTCTCAACTCTCGGAATGATCTCCGAAGCTTCCTGTGAACTCCTTGCATACACTTTGTCATTTTGTCGGTTGAATTTTTCTTCTATGGTGAAGATTTTCTCATCCGTGAACAAAATCTTTCAGAATCCCCCAGCTGCGTACCTCTCCAAGAGCTTCTTGGATCTTGTCGCCCTGATGTGTCGCAAGGTGGCCGTAAGTCGCTGGCCCGTACGTCTCCGGTAAGCCCCTAGCCCTAGGTCTTGTTTAATGATGCGCGACATCGTCCGGACAGGAATCTTCATTTCCCTGGATAGGATCTTCTGCTTCCGGAGTGGATTCCTTTGAATCCTGGCTTTTACGGCTTTGATGGCTGCTGGAATCCTTACTTGACGAGGTCTTCCGCTTCTTGGCCTGTCATCAACAGAGGACGTCTCATTGTACCGCTGAATGGTCCTAGACACAAATTTACGCGATATTTGAAGGCCGCGTAAGAGTTCAAAAATCTGACTAGCACTGTGATTACACTTATGTAAAGCTATCACTGCAATACGGTTCTCTGCCTTGCCCCACTCCATCGTTATGCTTCGAGAGATCAATACAAACTGAGGTATATGTAATTACCCGAAAAGCGCTTAATCAACTGACACCACAATGTAAACAATCGGACAAGTATTAACAGGTCTACACTTGTTTGAAAACGAGGGACAGAACTTATGGCATGACTACGTATATATATATTATTTGCAGCTAATTGCCTTAACTGTTAGGTGAAATATCCTTGAATTTCTTTGGGTAGAAGGCAAAGTATTGCAAAAGTACACTCTTATAACTTAAACTGAAGCTTTCGAAGATCTATGCCAATTTCTTCCAAATTTGATCAACGTTTAAGGAAAAAACCTTTTCAAAAATAGAAAAAAACATCTATGATTTGCCATTTAATAATCAAATAATTCCGTCCTAATCGAGCCTCATCGGTCCAGTTTTATATTCGTCGACTATGTGTTCCCTTCAGTGTTGTTCAAAAACAATATCAGCAACAATCTCGCCGACTTAGTAAGTAACTATTTTTTCTGCTAATTGTTAATTGTTGCTATTGTCAATAATTGTTTCCAGCTCCAGACTATGAAGGCATAGATCTTCGAAAGCTTGAGTTTAAGTTATAAGAGTGTACTTTTGCAATACTTTGCATTCTATCCAAAGAAATTCAGGGATATATACATATATATACTCGTATATATACATATCTGAATAAGTGACAAACAAAATTTAAGTTTTTGACCATCCGAATGATAAAAAGCATAATATGATCATTTCCACTAAAAATATAAAGGGTGAAAAGCTTATATTGAACTCTCCCCCAACATCCAGAGCCGCCTAGCTTAGGACTAAATTTTTCTCCAATCGGTGCTGCCTACAATGAAGTAGGAAAATAAAGACGACGGAATAGCCTCTGCAATGGCGTGGGTGGAGAAATATTGCCGACGAATTACAATTTGTACCGGGAATAACGGTAACGTGCAGGGACCAAGGATATTTTTGCGTGCAGCTTAGAAAGTTGGGGGAGCCAGCAGAAAAGCCGCCTCAACGGGAAAATCGAATTATGTTCGTTATTTGTCAAGAAAATCCCTCGTTCGGGCTACTGAATTTAGGATTACAACCGCCGTACATTTACGACTCTTGATGTTTCTCTTTTCCGTTATCGAGCGTGTCGTTTTCTTACCTTCCATATAACGTATGTCCTAAAAGATTTGGCACAAAATTCATCGGCTTTAATTTTAAAAAACACAAAATCGTATGGAGCTGCCTTTGGGAACAAAAGTTTGTTTACTTACTTTACTGTCAGTTGACATTTATTTATTTTGAAGTTTTCGCTTTAATATGTCAAATTGGAAATAAAAAAAGTTGGTTATATTATAATATAATATTCCAGAATGAAAACATTTTGCCACGCCTTTTTTATAAATATGACGAAATGGTGGTGTGATTCCTCTTTCCTTGTTTTAAATTAATTAATGACTTAGTAAATTACTATAAATGAAATCTAAGGGTCGGCCAATGCAAAACAGCTGTCAAGTGGCGTACAATTTTAGGCCCTAACAAGCAGCACATGTGCTCCACCACTGGAATGCAAGTTAAAAGAAAAGATATGAAAAAACTACATGACAATAAAATTAATAGACCGTAATAACTAACCCTGCAAAACGTTTACCATGGTACACGTACAAAGGCTTTACAAATATAGGTCTTGCAAATATTTCAACGCACCTAAACTTATCTGGACAATGGTCGTCTTCCAGTTACAGCTCTAGGCGTAGCTGTGATAATCTCAACTTTCAAAAACTCAGATCAAAAATCAGTGGCTAGTTGTGAGCAGTGACGTTCTCAAAATGTATGGTATAAAAAAAACCCTAGAGAGAGAGGGAGAGAAAGAAGTGTTTGATTTTCCCTAAGAAAATGATAATTTTCTCACATCAGAAGTGGGATTCAACTCGCTAAAAGGACCACAGAAGAAATACATAGTGCAACCTGACTTATTTCGAGTGTGCGTGCGTGAGCAATTCATTGTCCTGAGCGAATATACCTAGTGAGCGTTACTTTTGGCAGTGATACTTAAGTGCTAAAAGTCTGTCGAAATGGAGGAATTAACCAGCGTTTTAACAGCAGCAACCCCAACAAGCCGCAGCGGCGCCGGTGGTGCCAGCACCCTCTGCGCCAATTAACATTCCAGCTTTCGATCCCTCAAAAAGCGATGCGGGAGCGATGGGTTGGTGCGACGATATGGAGACCTTGGCGACCACGTTCAAGTGGACTGATTTTGAACAGCTTTGCAGAGCCGCGGGTGCCCTGGAAGGTGACGCAAAGGATTGGTATGACAACTGGCACCCATCAAATAAAGTTTGGGCTAGTTTCCGGGCCGAGCTTTGTCAGCTTTATCCTGCGAAGAGGAATCTTAGTGAGCGGTTACGTAATGCTAGTATGTACAGAAGTGACCAAGCCACGGGATATTGTGAGTACGCAAGGAAAAAAATATCTTTGTTAAACTCTCTAGATTTTAATTTGAGTGATAGTCAAATAGTTGAGATAGTTATTGGTGATATAACGGACACACATGTCAAAACAGCTGCTTTTAATAGTAGAGTTGATTCCATTTCGACCTTACTTAACTTGCTTAGCAACTATCAAATTAATAAACAAGACTCTCAGCTTCAAGTAGGGGCGCCAAAACGCCCGAATCCGTTTAAACATAATGATGAGGGAAAAATATGTTATTCCTGTAAAAAACCTGGTCATATCAGCCGGAATTGTTTTAAATCACTTAAATTATTCAAATACGATAATACTAATAAGGCGAGAAGCTCAAATAATCTGCCAGGTATTGCGATACCCTGTGAGATCTGTAAGAAATTCGGGCATAATTCTGAAAAATGCTTCTTCAAAAGTGAAAATAAAGCAGAGAAGTCGTCCAGATTCTCCAAAATAAACTATTTCTGCGTAGATCTAGATAATGACTTTTGCATAAAATTCAAAATACAAAATTTGACCGTAAACTGTTTGATCGACACGGGTGCAGAATGTAGTTTGCTATCCGAAAAAGTCGCCCATAAATTACACTGTCATTTCGAACCAACTTTCATAATGTTAAAGGGTGTAGGAGGCAACTCAATACCAAGTTGTCAAAGGGCTAATTTACTAGTTGAGAGAGAGGGGACGGCATTTGAAATTAGTTTTTATGTTGTCGAAACTTCTGTTATGGAATTAGATGCAATTTTGGGTAGAGATTTATTTAATCATAAAGGAATCAGAATTTGCACGGACTCATGTGGGTCTAGAATTTATCTCGATGACACAAATAACATAGAATCTAAAAAGATTCAAAACGTAACAATTTCTCCCGAGAAAATTCAAACACCACTGAATGGACATGATTTCGACGCCTTGTTGAAATTATTATCAAAATATAGCGATTCTATAACTGTTGGTAATTCCGTGAGGGCGGTAACAACCGGTGAAATGGAAATCAAATTAAAAACCGATAAAATAATTTGTTATAACCCTAAGGTCTATCGAATGTCATTGTCCGAACGAGAAAAGGTAAAAGATATTATTGACGACCTCTTGCAAAACAATATCATACGTGAATGCACGTCGCCTTTTGCTAGTCCAGTTATTCTGGTGTACAAAAAAGATGGCAGCCGATGTTTATGCGTAGACTATCGCGCCCTTAATGGAATAACCATTAAAGATCGGTTTCCATTGCCACGTATAGACGACCAAATTGATCAGCTGGGGGGAAGCAAGTATTTTACGACTCTCGATATGGCAGCGGGGTTTCATCAAATTCCTATGGCTGAAAACTCTATTTCCAAAACAGCTTTGTCACGCCTGACGGGCATTTTGAATACCTGCGTTCACCATTTGGTCTATCGAATTCCCCTGCAGTATTTCAAGGGGCGATTTGTAAAGCTCTGGGTAAGCTCAAAGATACCAATGCGCTGGTTTATATGGACGACGTAATCATTCCATCAAAAACCATCCAGACAGGTTTAGAAAAACTCGATCGGGTCCTAGCGTCCCTTACCTCAGCGGGCTTCAGCTTAAACATTAACAAATGCAAATTTTTCAGAAAAAAATTGTTTATCTTGGTCGAGAAATTTCCGAAGATGGTGTAAGGCCCGACGAAGGAAAATTAAAAGCTTTATTCAATGCGCCCGATCCAAAAAATGTAAAACAGGTCCGCCAATTTATGGGCCTAGCCGGGTACTTTCGCAAGTACATCCCTGAATTTTCAACGCGCACAGCTTGTATTACAAACCTAACAAAAAAAGGAGTCGATTTGAGTGGGGAACCGAACAAGTAAAAGAGTTACTCTCAAAATTAAACATTACCCAACATCTAATTGCCAAAAGTGCCCCACGCGGAAATGGGCAGGTAGAGCGATACGTCTCAACAGTTCTAGACCTGCTCAGAGTAAATGTCAATAATAATAAGTCAGAATGGGCGAGCGTTCTCCCCAAGTTACAACTGACCCTTAATACTACTATCCAAAAAACCACGGGATTTTCCCCGCTCTATTTGTTAACAGGGCAACTTATGGATACCATGGACATTCAGAATTTAACAGAGAGTATAAAACCAGTGACGACTACTGATCAAAATTTAATTAATGATCGTAAAACTGCCTATGAACGCTCTCTGCGTTGCGGTTTAGAGTCAAAAGACAGATTTGATAAAAGCCGAAAAACAACTAACAGTTTTAAAGTAGGAGACATAGTTTTCCATCCATCTGGAAATTCGCACCTAGCTAAACTAGACCCTAGATACGAAGGTCCATTCGAAATCTTACAGTTGTTGCCTACGTATAATGACCGAGTATAAATTAAAAATTTGGCGACCAATCGCAAAAGAATTGTTGCTAATGATATGATGCGGGTATGGCCAGGTGAATTTGAATAAGATAACATTTAATAACCATTGTTATTTGTTTATCCCTTTTTGTACATTCTTATGTTGGTATTATGAGAATGTTGTATGTTATATTTAGAGACTTGAATAATGATTATGATTTACGTTGTTGTTATTATAAAGTATTTGTTAGGCTATAACCGTGTGAGCCTTGATATTACAAAAACCTGACGAAATAAATTAGTAAAAAAAAAAAGTTTTGGGTTGAAAGACGTGCTCTTTGCATCAAGGTAATGAGACCTTGACTGCTGAAATGACGTGCTCTTTACCTTGCTGGTTAAAAAACCTTGCTACTTGTTGAAAGACGTACTCTTTGCGACAAGGTCATTAGGACTTGATCGTTGAAATGACGTGCTCTTTGCAATAGTGAGTGATGTATCGTTAAAAGCTGAAAGACGTGCTCTTTGCGTTTAGATCGTGAGGGTCTAATCGTTGAAATGACGTGCTCTTTGCAATAGTGAGTGATGTATCGTTAAAAGCTGAAAGACGTGCTCTTTGCGTTTAGATCGTGAGGGTCTAACCGTTGAAATGACGTGCTCTTTGCTACATTATATAGTCTCAATGGTGTTCTTGTAACATGGGTCAGGAGGTAAAATTCGAGAACGAATTTAGTGTCAGGATTGGCCGTGTGAGCCTTTCGCTGAATCGCTACGCTACGCCATCGAATATGTTTTGTCTATTGAATATGTTTTGTCTATTGAATATGTTTTGTTTACTTCTGGCGACCGTAAATATTCCGATGTGCTGCGATGTGTTTTTGTGGGCAAGGTGGTTAGTCATAGTCAGTCTTGTAACAGATGCTGGAGTGAATACATGTGATACAAGTTATGAATTGTTTGATTTTCCCTAAGAAAATGATAATTTTCTCACATATACGTTTGACATGGTCAAGAACCACTATTCAGTTTTTGTTCACAAATTGCTGCTCACGTCTAAACCCTCTTACCTGAGGAAAAAATTTCATTTAATAATGATGTTTACTGTAGAACTCTCAGAGAAAATAATATTAGAATACCCCAGCAGACGTCCACACTTTATAAACGCAGTTTTTCTTACAATGTTGCTATTATTTATAATAAAGAATTTTCATTTTTTTCGACAAAAGTTAAATCAATATTAGTCAACCCTCCAAACATATAATTTATGTAATCATTCATTTATTTTTCATTCCGTATTTAATTCAGGTTAATAATTTTTGGTGTACTTGGGTTTGGAAAGTATGCCTTTTTCTTATTTTAATTTTTACTTTCCATGTAATGAACCAAATCTGTTTGTGGATAGTGTATACTTTTGAACATCTGCAAGCAACTATATGGTTAAGTGTAAGAGTAGCAGCATGCTAAACTTCGCCATGTTAGTCTCACATTTGGCTATATTACGAAACAATTGTGGATAAATAAAGACGTCTATTATTATTATTATAACAGGTTTTAAGAATAATTTCTGTATGATGTCAAAGTTATAAATCATGCGTTTCGCGGAAAGAAACCCATTCCCCCGCACGGGTATCACGTATCTTGAACAGTGTCATATTAACTTAGCGCTTAGTTGTACGTGTTGCCTAAACGCCATGAGGCTTGTTTCAATCTTTGGCTCTGATGTGATGTAAAATTTGCTTCTGAACTGGCATTACTGGAGGTCTAAGCTGTAAGTTGTATGTGTTAATCATGATTACATTGGGTTCTTGTCTCAAATACACGTAATTGAGATTCAAAGCTAGAAATTAGTTGCGCATCCACTTTTTCTTATCCATTCTGGAAATTACATATACAAATTTGCTGAATTTCAAAAATGAGAGGGATAAGAAATAGTTATATTCACTATACAATGTCGAATTATAAGCCGAGTACATGCTAACAGTAATTGCACACAACGCGGGCGCGGTGATGATTTCCCGTAATTCTCCTCAGTGTTTCGTAATTTATAACTTTGAACATAACCTCTCTTCAGAAAGCACAACATAAAAATAACCCTTCGGGCACAGACAATATATATACTTCATTGGCAGCATATTCAGCAATGATTTTTTCACACAGCAAATATCACTGATTTTATACACATGCAGACCAATCCAGATAATCATCCAGATGCGATCTTGCTATTCAACCAACTTTCTTCTCAGAGATAAAAACTACGGACAAGGGCCATTTGGACTCACAAGACATATGCAAGCAATAATGCGTTTAGTTTAGTTAAGTGATTCGTCCTTAGATGGACTTTCACAACGATCCTAGTGAGCAAACGTGGAATGACTGTTTTCCCCCTAAAAACTACCTAGGTTTTATTATTTTATAGGTTTTTTTGACGTTTTATAGGTTTTTTACATGATACCCATGCTTCTTCAAACTAAATCTAACCCCTCTTGATGAAGTATGGCGGGTGAGTTGCTTGGTACGAGTAGAAAGGTCCAAAACCGAGGTGGTGGTTGCCGACGAAATGTTCAATCCCAGTCTGAGGAAATCAGAGGTATTTCAAGAATATATCCGTGGTCCCAGGTACTCCAGTAGACTTAAGATAATCGCAAAAGATCAGGTGCAATTCAAC